CTGATGTGTGTTCCTGGTTGTTTTGCATGAGGGTCTTTCCTGAAGATTTTAAGAGCAGGTTAGACAGAGACTTGTGTAGGAGGATTTGGGTAGGGATGATTCTGCCTTGAGCAAGGGATTGGACTAGATGTGACCTCTGAGGTCCCTTACAGGCCTTCTTTTCTAGGATTTTGTGATAACAAGGACTGTCTGGCAGGCTATATGCTGCTAGTGTGTTAGTACAGTAACTTTTTTGTTTTAGCCCTTTGTAGGCCAGCGTGCTCTGATCCAGTCAGCTGTTAACATTAGATCTGCTGATAGCCTTCAGCAGTGCAGCAGAGCCGATCACAAGAACTGCTGGAATTGGAGTCAGACTTTTCCCTTCCATTCTCCCTTCATATACACAAGACCTGCTTAACCTTTCATTTCACTGAGCCTGACAGCAGGTTACTTCCTAGCAACATCGCCAAGGGCATTTAATGAGAGCAATTAGCCTACCAGCTCCCATGGTTATCCAGGTTGCTGCGATCCTGCACCAATGCATCTGCATTAAGGAAGCCCTGTTGTAAGAATACTTCGGTCGAGCTTTGCTCTTCTCTGTTCCTTATCTTTCCTGTCTTTTGTTGTTAAAAGGCATTCCCTTGTCTCTTTGAGGGGCAGCAGATAAGGCTGTATCTGCTGAAGCGGCAAAGTTTTCACCATTTTGAAACCAGGCAATCCCAAAGAAAGGGATTGCACTGCAGTTTCTGCAAGGAGTTGCTCAAGCCTTTATTCAAATGACTGCATGTGTCATAATCAAGGAATTGTCCCAGGAGGGTAGGGTTGGAGTGGGGAAAAAAAGCAAAAAAGGAGGGATTGGGGGAATATGGGTTTCTGTATCTTCCTCCCTTACAGAGAACCTTGGTCTAAAGTTTAGTTCTTCCAAATCAAATTAAAACCCTCACATTCATCAGGCAGACTCAGAACCATGTCTTTCCATAGATCTTTGCGTTCCCCTTCATCCACCTTCTGGACCTAGGAATGACGACTCCTTTCCCAGAGACTTGATGTTTGTTCAGGACTGTTTTCTAGGAAAGGAGGGAAGACCAATTTCATCCAGCGTTTGTTCTCTCCAGGCTGACTGACTATGAAGGCCACATTCTTGGTGGAACTGAGACTCTTCTGATGGGAACATGCCTCAAGGTTTCATTACTTCCCCAGGAAGCCAGTCTGCAAGTGCCAATTTGTACTGTCAGTGCTGCACTTTAAAGCACTGTAGACCTGTTTCCCATTTCAAGCAACTAATAGCTTCTGTTCCTTATTTTATCACCAGTCCAGTGATAGCTTTAATGGTCAGTCTGTGTCAGGTATGTCATAGATGACTCCTTGATAGGTACCTCTGTCAGGCCAGGCCTCTCTTGGTCTGCTTTCTGGTACCATGTAAACCAATACAGCCTGTTCCATGGTTGGGTTGTTGGGCTAGCCTGGGTCAAGGATGGTCTGTGGGCACCCAGCAGGACTAAAAAAAAGACTTGTCAAAGGGTGGATAAGCTCCCTGTGAGCCAACAGCCGTTCATACGTGGAGAGGAGATGCATACCACCAGGTCACTCTGCCCGAAGAATCACCAATGATACACAGCATCTAAGGTGTCCCAATGGTTGCAGCAGCCTTGGGACTGACTTGACTTGACTGCCTCTTCAGAAAAGTAGTGTCTCTACACCTTGACCAGATGTTTCAACTGCCCACATTCCTTCTAGACTTCCTCTGATTTTCATAAATGTTCCTTAGGACCCTCTGAGGGGCTTGTCCAGATCTGGGCATTAGAGATGTTCCTTGTTCTAAACCAGTTACCCAGGATAAGATTTCAGTTTGTATTTGTTCTGAGAGCTTCAAGTATTTGCTCTCCAAAGCACTCCATTTTATATATATATATAAATGCCAGTGCCTGGATTTGGAAACTGTTCTGTGGAGGTGATATACCTCTTTACACATTTTCCTGGTTATCGGTGGAATTTTCAGAAGCAGAAATCAAATTATTTTGTGGACCACTGGGTGATTGCCTTTTCAGCTGAAGGCCTGTGGTTGTCCCAAAAGCTGTTCACAACAGTTTCCCAGAATTGTAAACAACTTTGTGCAGCAAGAACTACCACAGGAAGGTTTCCTCGGGGTTTGGTTGCCATTCCTGTGACAGCCAGCGCTAGGGTGTCTGTGGCCTAGTGGTAATTCCAAAGTTGGGCAGGAGGATACAGGTGAGAAATCCTGACTGAACAAGGAAAATGTTCACTAGCTTTTTGCAGTAGGAAGCTTTTGTTGATTTTTCTTTTTCTTTTGCTTATATTATCTGTTTATAGCAGTGCTCACCGGCTGGTGGGGACAATCAGGCCTCTTTTAGGGCTATCTGCTCAAAGGGGCTCAGCAAAAGGCATCTGATGATTAAAACTACCTCCATTTGAGCAAACAAGCTTTGTATGAGCTTACCACTGAGGCACCAATTTGATGTGTGGGAATGAGAATTTAATAATTGAATCTTCAAGTAGTTGTTAGGACCTGATGATCCAGATACTCCTGGACTCTGACTCTTGCTTATTTAGATGCATCTTTGCATTTTTTGGGTTCTCTTGAATGGGGGCAGACTTCTGTTCCAGCTCTCGAACTCATATTTTGCAGCACATGAGATTATTGGTTTGGATTCAGAGAGGTTTTGCTTTCAATTGGTTTAGATTCAGAGAGGTTTAACTTTCTAAACCTTAAATAGTCATGAGAAACTGTCACAAATGAGAGCTTTTCAAGGGATTGTGAACTTGGTCTTTACGGTGCTCTGGAAGGGAAGAGACTATTTGGTCTCAACCAGGGATATATTTCAATATTCCTTTCCTTGGGTTTGGCTCTTGCTTGGGTCCAGGTCCCCACTTTCAGGAAGTCCAGGCATTTGTGTCTGTAACCTTGTAGCTTACTCCTTCTGCTTTGAGCCTTTTTTGATAGCAAGGACCTGCCTCTGTGGAGATGACATCTGGAGACAAGTATGTTTTGGTGGTTCAGGGAGTCATCTTTGAATCATTCTTAATCCACAGACAGAAGCTATACTTAAATGCTGTTCTGGTTTGCAGTTACGTCGGGTAGGAGATTTAGTAAGTTTGGGGGCCTTATCCATCTAGAATTTTTACATTACTTTTTTTCCACAAGATGAGTCTTTGGCTGGCAGCAGACTTCTCATCTCTCCCAAATTACAGCTCTCACACAATCTCTTCTCCTTGCTGGCCTTGTATGCTGAGGCCTTGCACAAGTAGGGAAAAGCAGGTGTGCATTGCTGGAGTGGCTGGAACATTCAAATGCTGACAAGACATGAATAAAATTGGATGAAAGTTTAAGATCTGCTATTTGACGTGTGTTGTAAAACAGCCTGTTGGTTCTTTCTGACAAATATGTTCAGGAGTTTGTCAAGATGACAAGCTATTCATTAACAGATCCCCTATTTTAGGCATGGCTCACTCAAGCCATGGTCATTTCTTGGACAGAATGACAGTACTTTTTTCAGCTCATTTTGGCATGTAACCATTTGCTCTTCCATGCATCCCTTTATCTGTCACTTTAAAATACATTATCTTGGGTGGTGCAACTTTAGATCATCTCTTCCTTTTCTTTTGCTTATTAAAAACTTACATGTAGTGGATAAATAGGAAAGGCGAGAAAAGACAATAATGCACAACAGGATATCGGTGTACTAGGCATTAAGTCCTGTTGGTGGCTTTTTCCAGGTTGCAGTAAGTGGATCACAGAACATCAGGTGCCCACAAGTGTAAAACGTACCTGTAACTTCTGTTCCACCACGGCTAAGGACTTCTCTTTTTTTAGCACTGAATGCTGGGAGGAGGGGAAATAACTAATCCTCATTCAGCCATCACCTTTCCTTTCCTTGCTGTAATGGAGAGTATTCCTGGCGAAGTGAAATGGTGAAATCTTGAGATCCTTGTAATACCAGGTTCTTGATTTGCCTTAAACCTTCATCTTATTTTTTTGTGTAATAAATGAACGAGTAAAGCAAAGATTAACCATCTCCCAGCAGGAGACTTTATTTTTTAAGATGGTTTTAAAGCAGAATCTGCTGGTGTCTTGGTGTGGGCAGGTGGCTGGGGTTGTCAAAGGGGGTCAGTTCCCTGAGTAGCTCCCTCTGCTGTTCATATGTCCTGAAGCCAGCAAGAAGGTTTTTTGTTTTTTAATACGTTGCATGGTTGAAAAGGGAGAAATAACTCAATTGTGATGGATCAGAGTGCACTAGATGCCCAATTTCAGAAAGGAAAAATTACCCATCAGTGGGTTCTGTTTAACTTCAAAGTTACCATCCTGCCTCTGGATCACATTTCACAACCCATGATTGGGATTTCAGCCCCTCTGTCACCCCGTGTTACATTTTCAAACAAGCACTGTTATACTTTCTCCTGTGCTATGTCATGGGTGTTTAGAGAGAGTGTATCTCATTATCCATCATCAGATCTCATCTCAAAACACTCTCCTATGCTATCACACCAATAAAAATCTCATTAGTAAGTTGGCTGCTGGTGTGCTGAGGTTGCTCTCTGTCGCACTGACCAGTGCTATCCCATTATTTACTTCTGCCGTCTTGTTGTGGTGCATCCATCTCTCTCTAGTCTCTGTTGTTTTATAGCTCCTGCCCTGTTGGGGCAGATTAAAATCTGTCTTTTTGTTCTGTGTTTACACAAGGCCTGGCATGCTGGGGACCTAGTCCATGACTGTGGGTAGGACTCAGTATAGTAATATAGGTCATGGTAACATATTCATAGTGGAATGGCTCGATCCTGTGAAAGCAGAATGCTGTTTCCCAGCCTAGCGAAGCATTAAAGGACACAGGTGCTCCTCTCGTCTTTCCTAGGACTATTCACAGGCTTAATCTTTTTCAATGGGTGTGTGAGTCATTCCAGATGGACCCCATTGCAGCAGCAGTTCTGTCCCCATGTTAGGGGGGAAATAGCAGAGAATTGACTGGCAAAGCCTGAATATTAACATACCTTCTTGTATGTTACAGGTAGGTGTGTCTCATCATCATGTTCTGGAAGTTTGATTTGAACACAACATCGCATGTGGACAAGCTGCTGGATAAGGAGGATGTGACACTGCATGAGTTGATGGACGAAGATGACATCCTACAGGAGTGCAAGGCGCAGAACCGTAAACTTCTGGACTTCATCTGCCAGCAGCAGTGCATGGAGGACCTGGTCAACCTCATCACCCATGAGCCCCCCATGGACATGGAGGAGAAGGTCCGCTTCAAGTACGTATGCCTTCTTTGCTTTCTGGGAAGAAAAATGAATGTAGAAATAGCCACCAGAGTATTTTGTGCCACAAGGCAAATTAAACTTGCTGCCCAGGAAAAAGACCTTGAAGTTTGGGTTGTGAAATACTTTGCTGTCTTAGTGCTTTGACATGACTAACCATTTAAGTATTTGCTCTGATTTTCTGCCTGGGTTCATTGCATTTGTGTTCGCTGTTTTCTTAAATCAAACTTCTTATTGGAAACTTTTCAGAAGCTCCCTGTTGATCTTTGTTCTGTGGTTACAGTCACCCCAAATGAAGTGGGTGATGTTTGCTGAGCTACAGGTTCAATGAGCATCATTGGCTTAAAATGTATGCAGTCTGTATGAGATTTAGAGCTCTCCCACAGATGAAAGCTAGCCATTTGCATACTGCTGCTTGCACCTTAATTGCATAATTGCCTGAGAGCGTTCTAGAGTAGCAACTGGATGTTCATATTAGAGACATTTTAAAAAGCTCTTCCTCCCCACAGCCAAATACAAGCCACCTGCCAAGTATCAAATCATATTTACACACATAGGTTCAACTAACTGCTCTTGTGTTTTGGAGATAGGGGAACCGGTTTTGTGTCTGTGCTGCATTCAAGGCAGGGAATTTGATGCAGGCATATAGGTGTGTCCCCTCAGGAGATTTGATCAGGGCAATTGCTACCATAGATGCTAGAAATCTAAAAAGCAAATGGTTAGTGATGATGTCATTGATGTACTGTCTAGATGAGAGACGGTGGCATGTGTGTGACACATGACGTGTCGTGTTGCTGCATGTAGGGTGGGCAGTTGTAATATTTCAGCTGTAAAGTATGTACGAGCAGAAGGAACCATGAGGCCTGCCTTAGGTGGCTACTCATACAAATGAAGATGCATATCAGATAACTTATAGCATCAGACTTTATGGAGGCAGCATTATTAATTGTGTCCTCTATTGTTGGTTTGCAACAGTATGCATTGGTGCAGGTAAACTGCAGTGTCCTTGATGGAGCCCATCTAGCCTGTCATTACCATTCCCACTCAGTCCCCCAGAATGATGCAGAAAACCTACCTTTTCTGGTGAAAACCCTACCTTTCCTGCAAGATGGGATCTTAGAGACTAGCTGCCTTTTCCAGTGAGGATGGATGTCTCTTCCTTGTGTTGGGGAGTCTGTTAGTGCTCTTGTTTAGTGAGACTGGAGAGGTATTGTTGAGCCATGAGACAACGCTATATTTTCTCACATACAAAATGCACCTTTTCCCCCTAAAATTGACACCCCCCCCCCGGTTTTTAATCAGGGAAACTGATTTTCTGCCTGGGATAGAAGTGCTCTGTTGTGATCTCTGCTCCAGAGTGCAGCGGCTGTGGTATTACTGCTTGGGTAGCTGAGGGAGTCAGTTCACTTAATGGCTCGTGCTGGTTCACTTTCCAAGTGTTAACAGTTGTCTCTCTTTTTTAGTGGTCTCAGTGTTCCACTAATGAAGCTAACCAGTCAAGGGCAGTCTTGCTGTCTGCTCCTGGTCTGTCTCATACCCTCTTTAGCACAGACTCTAGCATTTTAGCACAAGCCAGCAATTCTCAACCAGGGTGTCACGCCATCTGGGGTGCCACACAGTGATAGTACTGATACATTTTACAAGCATGATTCACAAAAGAAACCCAGAGATTTCAAGTAGGAATCCATAGCTGGGGGCTTTCTGAGGTCTTTGCAACAGACCTGTTATTTTTCTGTATTCACAAAAAGAGTGAAAACCAGGAGCTGGACTTTTTGGAGGGGTGCCTTGAATCTATCTGGGGATGCCGCAAGTCTGAAAAGGTTAAAAACCACTGGCACAGGCTTTTTAGCTCTTTTCAAAAGCATAGCTCCACCCTTTGAGAAACCAGTCTTCAGCAGCAGCCAGGGACTCCATTTTAGCTATGTAGGAAACAGAGGGTGAGTCTCTGTCTCTGCTCTGCGCAGCCATAACTCTGGAAAAACCCTTTTTCTTCATTTTGCCTTGAAGAAACAAAGGTGTGTGTTATATTTAGGGGGTGTGCCCCTTTGTGCCCCATTTCCAGGGTCCAAGCGTATTCTGCAGCTGGGGCAGTGACTGGTTCTAGGAAAGTGAATCCATCCATGGGTTTCACACATCTGTGCAGAACGCTTTGGTGGTCCTGTTTAATCAAATCAAAGTTCTTTTTATTTTCAGTACTTCCATGCCTTCCACCAGTACTTTTTCTAGCCATAGTTTCATAGTTGTTTCATAGTTCATAGTTGGTTGGGTCGGAAGGGACCTGAGCAGATCATCAAGTCTGACCCCCTGCCATGGGCAGGAAAGAGTACTGGGGTCAAATGACCCCAGCCAGGTGATTATCAAGCCTCCTTTTGAAGACCTCCCAGGGTAGGAGCTAGGACCACTTCCTTTGGACGTTGGTTCAAGATCCTAGCTGCCCTGACTGTAAAGTAGCACCTCCTGATGTCTAGTCTGAATCTATTCTAAGTCAACTTATGGCTGTTATTCCTTGTTACTCCTGGTAGTGCTCGGGGAAACAGGGACTCTCCCATTGCCTGCTGGTCTCCCTTGGCCAGTTTGTAGATGGCCACCAGATCCCCTCTCAGCCTTCTCTTGTGGAGGCTGAACAGGTTCAGGTCCTGTTGCCTCTCCTCATAGGGCCTGC